TTAGAGACGCAAATTCTGACAGAAAAGGCAAAAGGAGCCAGAGGTACCCCTCAGAGGACACAAAAACCAAAGTCAGTCCGCACTTGGCCCAGAGGAGGCTTAGCGCTTTCTTCACTTGAGAGTTCTCTGAGGACAAGGAGGGCAGAGTTTGATGATTCTAAGTGCTGGGGAAACAAAGCCACGATGAGCCGTGTGCCGATAAATTACTTCTCTGTCTCGGCTTAAAGAGAGGGTAGCTAATGAATACGTGTGTGTGTGTGTGTGTGTGTGTGTGTGTGTGTGTGTGTGTGTGTGTGTGTTGCTCACTGGTAAAGTGGTAATACTGGATTCTGGAGATATTTCCTCCTCGCCAAGTTTCCAGGGACATCTGTGCTTGTAGTGTGCGGATCTCCACTAGGGGTCTCCAGCAGCTGGCGATTCGCAGCAGCAATTGGGTTTGCAGGAGGCCTCTCTTTGTCTGCACCCCAGGTGTGGACTCCTCTTTGTTCCCTGGCTGGGCTGCTACCTGCCCTGGGAGCCAGCTGGGTGCTCACAGGGACCCTGTAAGGCCACCTAGGACTGTCAGTGTCTGCCTCCAGTTCGCTTGCTTCCTGCTCTCTGAGAAGAGCCAGTGTTTTGTAGGTATCTTGTAAGGAAATAGGGCTTGAACTTAAAAGGGAAATAGTTCTTCCAGCGATGATGTTGATGATGAGGAATTGATGGCAAAGGGGCCACTTCAGGCCAGAGTAATTTGCCATAAAATATTTAAAGCTGCCTGACGAACAGCCCCACAATTCTCCCATGAACACCGACCACTGGATTAATCTTGAAAGTGAGGAATATTTCATTCTGTGTTTAGCACAGGGAAAAGGAATGACCTTCTCTGAGAAACACCCCAAAGGATTGCCTAGGGCAGCTCCGCACGTTGGGACATTCACCCTGCGGTATGTTCTGTCTGGCTTCAAACTTCAAAGGAACGCTAAAATAAAATAACAGATTACAGCAATACGAGAGTACCCTGTAAACAATAAATTACAGGAGTGGTACCAGTCCCTGCCGATGGAGAAACAGGGCGAGGACTGAAAACATTTGCGTCATTAGATGTGATTCTTTTGTTTTCACCGTTTTGGTTTGTCTCGTTCAAGTCTCGAGCGTCTTTCCATGCCCGTCCACTGCCCTGTGGGCCCCAGAGGTGTTACTCATCGCTCAGTGGTCACGGCCAGACAGGCAAACATTCAGTTCATGGCTCATGTTTTCAGAAGCTCTCTCTTGATAACCTACTGTGTGCATGGCCAGGGTAAATCACACAAAGGCTGGACCGGTAACATCCTACCTTTTCCCCACCCCTTCCAAAAAGCTTTGAATGACCAGGGAGAGAAAACTGTCCCCACACCCAGCATTACCAATGAGACAAGGTGCACCTGCGATCTGCCCATAGGGGGGTGTGGCAGAGTGAGGAGCATTCCACAGACGAGATGGCTGGGAAATGAGAAGATTCTCCGGACAAAGTGCACCCTGGGCGAACTTTCACCACAGCTCCAGTGGACAACAGGGAGGACCTGGACAGAGACTAGTGCTGGTAGCTCCAAGGTACAGAGGGCACAGTGAGAAAAGGTCACAGCTGAGATGGACTCAACAGGAAGTGAGCAGGAAGGTTTTAAGGTAGGGGCCTGTCTGGGTTGCCCAGGTTTGACGCATGGTATTCTAGGCAGCAGGGGAGGTTGTTTCATGAATTTCTGATTTGGTGATAGACTCTGTAATAAGTATATAATCATAGCTGGGGGCTATTAAGATAGCTCAGTGGGTAAGGACGTTTGTCTTCAAGCGTGAGGACTGGGGTCTGAGTTCAGTTCCTGGATGTACATGGTAGAAGGAGAATACTTAACTTCTGCAAGCTGTCCTCGTGTGCAAGCATTACGTGGGATACATACACATGCATACACACATGCACACATATAAGTACACATACATGCACATGCAGATAAACATGCATACACACATACAGGCCTACACACAAAATAAATATAAATAATCCCAAAGAAAGTAGGGGCATGCTAAGTTAAAGCAAAATGGCAATTTTCAGTTCTCTGTCAGACCACATGGACAAACCGTCCTTCTCTATGGATCTTTTACCATCTGGAAAAAGATGCAGTATTTAAGAAAATTATACCAGATTACATTAGAATTTAACCAATCCACAGTCTTCATAGCATCAATATTCTCATTTCATTGGCAACCAGGCTTTTGTAGCGCCATTCAGAAGTGAGTAAAAGGCATGAATGAAGGTTTTATTGTTTCACTTGGGGACATGTGTCAGAAGGCCCACCAGTGGTCCCTGCAGCTACTGACAAAGATAGAACTTTACTTCGGCTCCTGCTTGTTAATTTATGGCATGAACCATCTAGTAGAGAGCCCTAAGCCCCTTGGCCTTTGACCTGGAGAAAGTGAATCTTGATCAGGAGCAGCTAAGCCTGCTGAGTTTCCTCTGCTGGTTATGCATCCGCAGCCCCAAGGTCCCATCAGCTTTCACTGTCAATCCAAAAACTGGTAGTTTGTTTGCTCTTCTAAAGAACAGGCTCTGGGCTTACCATCCAACTCCTACCACAGTGGGGCCTTGCTTAAGAATCTCCATCTTCTACTTTTGTGCTGCACAGGGTTACCTGTGGTGCCTTCCTGGAGAGAACCCCTCTAACGCTTCATTTATTTGGAATAATAAAAATAATCTTGTTCATTGGGCCATACTTTGATTTCTTAAAAAATATTCATTTATTATTTTCCCTCTATGTGGGTTTTGTCTGCGTGTTTGCATGTGTAGCATGTGGTTTGCTGGTACCCAAAGAGGTCAGAAGAGGGTGCTGGAACACCTAAAACTGGAGTTAAGGATGTTTGTGAGCCACCATGTGGGTGTTAGAACCGGAACCCAGGTCCTCCACAAGAGCAACAGGTGCTCATAATACTGAGGCAACTCTCCACCCCCCCCCCATTGTTCTTGTTACTAACGTTCTGTGAAGGCACATATTACAATCTGCACAAATAGAACCAGACATGTTCTGAGATTTACATTGAATAATGAAGTTCACCACTTACTGCTCAATTTGAAACATAAAATAACATAAGGCCACAAATGAAACATTTCCTCAGTAAATAAGCCACCACTGGTTAGTCATCTTCAGGAGAGAAAGCAAACGTTGTTCAAACCATTGATTCCACATTTCAGGTGAACAACTTACAACTGCTTCTGGAATACACTCTTTAGGCCTGGTACAATATGGCTTCACACTGAGTATCTTTTTTTACGCTTAACAACACTCTGTATTAACAGTAATAGAAGTGGAGAAACAGCCTGAATCCAGACATTTGCTGACATCCTCGATGAGCAGGTGACAGAACTGAAGTTAGAACACGGATTCCATTTTCTTCAAAGCCCAGATAGTAACAATCCTGTGGCCATGTTCATCATCTAAAGATCTGGAGGACTTTGTAAATTACTAGCCCAACAACTAAATGTCATGTTGTGTCTTGAACTCTGGGTGTCCGAGAAGTTCTAGTCTCACGGAGGTCAAGATTATGTTGGGCAGCCGTATGTCCCTATAGGACTCCAGATGAGGTCACACCAAGTTTGCACTGCTCTCCAAAAGCTGGTGGGAATGGTCAGACTTGGCAGCATTGAGATCCAGTTTCCCTAGGCAGATCTGTCTTAAGAGCTCTGTAAATGTAGGCCACTGGGGTGCAGCTCAGTGTGGCTGAAGAGGCCCCCCAGGCTACAGCCCTTTAGCAAGTCCTTTCTTTTTCCCTAAACAAATCAACAAACAACCACGGGTGGGGACACTTGTTGGGGCAGTCACACTGGGATGGCATCCTGGAGGGGAAATTTAAAGCATACTTTAAATCAGGTAGAAAATGTGGCGCTAGCGCATATTGGGATCATTTAACATTTATTATACACTGTATATGAGGTCCACTGCGGATGTGGAGGCCCCCAGGACCCGGCTGCTGTTTCTGAGTCACTCCTGATAATTTTCAAACGGACTATGTCCTTTTAGTCATGTTTTTGCAAAACCGTGCTGCTCCCAATGCGAACACTTTCCGTTTTGCTTCATAATGAGAGTACTTTCATTCCTTTAATGTTTGCTTTCTTTCCTTTGATCTGACAATTTCTGTTCAAATTTCACAGTTTTCTGTAGCTTCAGGATTGAAAGAACCGATTACCCTGCTGGGAGCGTGAAAAGGATTTAAAAAAAATATATCTGCATGACATTTCCTCCCAGTGAAATTAATTTAGGTTTAAATACAGGAGGATGGCGCACACCTGCTCCAGTCTGTCTTGCACACACCTAGGCAGTTCTTTATCCTGAAAGGATACAGTTGCACCCGCTGGAACCTGAGGTTTTGTGAGGATCCTTTCGATGGGCAGGGGACCTCTTTCTTTGTTTAAGTCTGATGCTACCTTTGGGATATCTCTATTTCTTTGAAGACCTGTCTCAGAAGCCCAGTGGACTTTTTGGGCACGGTCCCTGCCAGCGGCTGGGGGACTTCAGTGTAGCCAGATGGGCTTCCTGGGTGCTTTAGGGGATGCTACTTTGGCAGGGCAGGCACCTTTGGCTCTTGAGCAACAAAGGGCAAATTGGAGGTTGGTGGAAGGGGCACTCCCCAGCCTTGGTGGCATCCTGGCCTGCTTCTGCCCAGCACCTAGTCCTCAGTGACTCCGCCTTCGCCTTCTGGGTTCCCCACCCCCGCTGTGCGGCTGCTCTAGAGCTCAGAGCTTGCTGCGAGTCCCACTACCTTCCTCCTAAGACCCCTCCATATACCCTTCTAACTCGGGAAGCAGCGCTGTACACTGCTGCTCGGCCCGCCTTGCGTCCCTGGCGGCGTGCCCAGCACCTCGGGGCAAGCTCCCAATCCAGTCTGGTCCCCACCCCGTGGTTCTCATCCTCCCCCTGCAGCCAGGGGCTCAGGAGCTGTCAAGCCCGCGGAGCCGATTCAGCCCGGAGCGCCGGCGTTCCTCTCCTTCCTTTGTGTGCGCGCGCGAGCCGAGCTGGGGCGGAGGGAGAAGGGGGGAGGTCGCTGTCTATCTGTCTCCCCCGCCTTTGCCCGGGCCGCTCGAAGTGCAGCAGCGGCGGCGGCGGGATCCCGAGAGCCGGTGCGGGGAACCGCGGGACGCCCAGGTTCCAGCCGCGCGCGGGAGCGGGCCCGCGGCGGGGAAGGCGGGGACGGTGAGAGCGGCGGTCCCATCCTCCCACCCAGCCGCCTCGGCCTCGCTGCGCCCCTGCCACCCCGACGCCCGCAGCGGAGCGCGCCCAGGCGCCGAGAGGGACGGCGAGCACGAATAAATAGCGGCGGCGGCAGCGCGTCATCTGGCGGAGCAGGAAGTGCAGGCAGAGTCCGGAGGCCGGTGCTTCCCGCGCGTCCCCAGGACTTTGCCATGGGCTGGGGGCCGCGCGGGCTGCGAGCAGCCAGCCAAGGGCACCGGCGACGCCGCCCGCACTGGGACTGAGCGAGCAGTGACGCGCGGCGCCGAGATGGCAGCGTCCAGCAACTCCAGTCTGTCCGGTTCCTCCGTGTCCTCCGGTGAGTTTCAGCGCGCGGTCGCCCGTGCGGGGATGAAGAGTCTACCTGTGGCCGTCCCGCCTGCTCCAGGAGAGCGACACGGGACAAGGGCGTCCCGCGGGACACTTGTTAGGGTGACCGGCATCCTGGTGCCCCAGCACCTCCGCGCCTGACCTGTGACAGGGCAGAGGTGGGACGCGCTGGCGTCCTAGGCGTGCGGTCCAGGCAGTCTGGGGCTCCCGGAGAGCGAAAGCAGCAAGGCAGCCTCGCACTTTCTGCACAGCTGGAGCAGGGGCAGGCGGCGTGAGGAAGGTGAGGGCGAAGCTAGGGCGCCCGAACTGTCTTCCTGCCTGCTACCATTGATACCCAGCGCCAAGGCAGAAAGGTGCAAACCCTTGCTCCTTGCAGACTCGGATTTCTTTGTTTGTTTCAGAAATTAGCTCCTTGGAGACACTTGCTTGGGGCATGGGTTTGAGACAGCAGCCAGGAGAATGTGTCTTGCTCTTCTGACTGAAGGGAGATTGTGGAATGGAGGTTGAGCCCAGCCTATCGGACTCTTGGCATATTTACAGTGTGTGTGTGTGTGTGTGTGTGTGTGTGTGTGTGTGTGTGTGTATGAGAGAGACAGAGAGAGGGAGAGAGAATGTGTGTGGGGGGGCTCTAGACATGTTCTTATAGTACTCTATAATTTTACTTTCAGGGCTTCTGATTATTTTCCGTGTTAAATGTGGTTGGGTGGAAGAAGGGCTTTCAGCTTTTCTATGGTTGATCAGCAGGTCTAATTGAAGAGAAAAAAACTGATAATGAATGCGAAGGCATGAGAACCAATGGAGTCAGTCCCACTGGTTTCTGAACATGACAGGTTTCTAATCAGAATGATGCATTAGACTCAGCTCCATTACCCTTTTGGTCATTGAAAACTTTAATAAGAACCCCTGAAGGGCTGGCTGGTAAGACATTCTGGATTACAGACTTCAAGGGTCAAGATGGTCTTGAAGTCTAGTGGGAATGCTCAGTGTATTAATATCGTACGGTGTCCTGTTGGGTTCTTTTTATTTTTCTCCAAAGTTTAACCTCTGAGCAGAGGAGAGACACAGCACTGGACAGGAAGGCAGGCATAAAGGGAACCATGACTATGAATGTGTAACTAATCAAATCCTAAACACAAGGTAGGACTGTGACCAAGTGCAGTTGTGATGTCTCAACAAGGTGTTCTCCAGAAAGGTATCCACTGTTTGTGTGTGTGTGAGTGGGGGGGGGGGAGTTAGGTTTAGTTGCAGGGAAATGACACTTCCGTTAATGATCTCTGACAGCTAATAAAAACAGCATTGTTAGGTGTCCCGTAGTTTGAGCTGCGTAGCAGCCGGCCGGTGGGCAGAGCAGTCAGCTCCTATTAAGAGCAGCAACAAGTTGACCGCCTGTGGTTTTAATTCTGAGAACTCAGCAAATGCTACGGCTTATTTTTAGTACCCTCAAACCACTGCTGCTGCGTTTCAATTCATTTTGGTTGACTAACGTTGAATTTAAAATGCAGAGCTGTTGGCTTCCTATTAGCACATGGTTCTCCCTCTCCAAAGACTGCCCACTGGATGAACTGAGGGGGAAGGGGTAGCAAAGGGACACACTGGGGAGGACTAAGAGAAGTATCTGTGCAGGATACACTAGAGGCATGGATTATAGATGCCGTGGCATCTGAAATTTCAGCTCTTGGTACCGCTTAAGCAGTCTGATCGAACAATTCTAGCTCAGCCCTGGGAAGACTCTGCTGCTTAGAGAAGCCTGGCTAAGCTTTAGAGGGTGGTAATTGCTGTGCAGAAAGGGAGGCACACTCACCAGGGCATTCTATACTGTCTTCTGGACCACTATTTTGAATCCTGTTGGAAACTCGGAAATTGCATGAAATCAGAAATGCAAAAAGGTGGACATGAATCTATTTCCTATTTCATGTAAATCAACCTGACCTCTGGGCTTAGGCACCTTCGTTCACCAATTCATCAGACACTTTGTCTTGCAAAATATGGAATCATAGTTCTTTTTAAGCACACTTATCATTGTGTGGATAATGAATAATTCAGAGGACACAGGCAATTCACACCTGTGAGAGGTGTTGAGCAGGAAAGAATAGAGCCTGTTTCTCAGAGCAGCTGGGTTCTCTCAGGCAGAGGCCAGAGTCTGAAAAAAGTAGGGCACTCCATAAACCCATTAGTCACCAATCTGAAGGGCCAACTGTGGGCCAGGCTTGAGCTTCAAGGCTTAGCAAGGGAGATAATTCTAGCTTTCTTTGTAGCTCCAAACTTCTGAGATCACTGTATTTGAATCCTGGCTCCACTGCTGACCAGTGAGGCATCTTGAGGTGGGTTACTTAATTCTTTCCTAGCCTCAATTTCCTCATTAAGTCAGTATGCTGGATCTAATGCATAAGAGCGCTTGATGTAGAGGTTGGAAAGATGGCTCAGTGGTTAAGAGAGATTGCTGTCCTTGTGAAGGATCTGAAAACTCACAGCAACCTGTTAACTCCAGGGGATCTGATGCCCTCTTCTAGACGCCACAGACATATCTACATATGTAAGGTATACACACACACACCTTTTAAAAAAGAATGTTTGGTGCAAGCAGATTATCTTCTTTGAGGAAGGAAATGAAGGCCCTCAATAATGGCTCCAACCATAGGTGCTGCATAAAATCTGTTTCTTCCTTCATATGCCGGATATGATCTTGAGACCGGACTCCATCAAAGAAACATTTATTGAGCATATTTCAGGTTTGAAACGTAGCTTTGAGTGTTTGCATTGAAAAGATGACTCAAGAGTCCTCCTGAGATGGGCGGCAACTCACAGCCTGTGTTCTAGAGTATTAACATCGCATGCTGTAGAGAACTGTGCAGGGCAGGGAGTGATTGCTTCAGTCTGCAGTGGCCAGTGGAGGTGACACATTGGGCATTGACGGGTGAGCAGGAGCAATACAGAATGCAGGCAGAGAGAGAGGCATCTCAGGAAGACAAAGATGGGAAACTCTGACTTTCCTTTGCATTTCGTGGGACATTGATCCTTTTCACTGGTGGGTGGGACACCTCCTGGAGGCTTTGATGGGATGATCCTGGAATTCTAGGATGAACTTGAACATCTGAGCCCTAGAAAAGAAGCAGTTGATTTCTGCAGGCTGCCAGTATGGTCTAACCCTGTCTCCAAGGAGCGGCTGAGGGGGGATGAAATGGTCTAACCCTGTCTCTGAAGAGCAGCTGAGTAGTGGAATGGGCTGGTGTCTGCTAGGAGGAGAACTACAGTGGTTTCCGCAGCGTAAGCTCAAGGTTCTCTGGCTTGAATAATCTGACTTGCTGTTGTTTAGCGATATCAGCCAAGTGCGTCTTTGTACCTGTTAGCAACTGACACATAACGGATGAAGCTACCAGGTTAGCATTAACTTAAAAACACATTTCCTGAGAACTCTTTGGAATTTTCTTCTGGAGGATTCAATTATGTGGAAAAGAAATTGGCATGCCTCTGTTTTGATGATGGCTGCTGATAATTAAATTTCACAATCACCGAGATTGGCAGGAAGGTTTGATTCCTTTTATTATTTTAAGATATCCACAGATACAGAAATCAGTATCGTTAAGATTTTAATAGAGCCTGCGGTACTTGATTATATCCAGAAGTAAACTGGCTGATTTGACGAATGGTTTTCTTAGTAATCACGGGTGACATTTGCTTTTATGATTAAAATAAGAACTTTTCGCTTATTAGTAATGTGATTGCCAAATGGATAATTTCACAATCAAGAAAAGAAAAAAAGCAGCTCATGCAATGCAGTAAACAAATGAGATATTTTCTAGTAACTGAACAAGTTAGAATATTAAATATTAAAGAAACCCCCTGGATAAAAATTTAACATTTTGGAAAGATAAGCATATGGCATTATTTAAAAGGAAGTTGATCATTTTTTCAAAAGGAAAAAGAGCAAAAATCAGCACAGTGTCCAGTCATCAAAACCTTCATTGAAATAACATTCTTGCACAGATTGAGGTATTTATATGGATTTTACAGAGCAGCATTGAGGATGGGGGGTAGGGGGTTTAGTGCTGTTTTCTGCCATTACTCTGGTGACCATGGAAACAGTAAGCAGAGATGTTTCTTGTTATTGAGAAGGAATGCCCACTGACATACACAGAGTCTTCTATATCCTGGGATGCAGAGGGAAGGCCTGGACTTTGGTATGGCAGCCACTAACATGTGTGTAGTGAAGAGATGCATGGATCTAGTATCTGCCAGGGAACCATGACAGAGGAAGCTATGTGTGAAAGACCTTGATTTGCTTTCAAATGATAGCTCTTGGGAATTAAACATAATAATCTGTATTAGCAGGAAGGATTGGTTGTCTGCTGTATTTTAAACCACATGCACAAAAATTGGAGTTAAAAATCACAATAAAATAATAAAAAGTTACAAAACTAGGATTAACGCTGAGGTAGACTCTTCATTCTCTTGGGTGAGACACATCTGCTTTCCTGGTGGCTGTTTTATGTCAAACGGAATTTAGTAGCCTTTATGGCCCACTTGTAGTAACTCAGGTGAGCCCAATAGTTCAGTATCTGAGAGATTAATGACAGTCTTCTTAACCATATTTGTTATGGTTTTTATCTTAAGCCCAAAGGTCACAGTTTAATGGGCTGGTCACCAGCCCTGATGCTGCTGGGGGAGATAGTGGCCCTACCGAGTGGAGGGTGTGGCCCTCCCCCTCTGCCCACCAGGAGAAGAACAGATCTCCTCTGCGGCCGTTCCCTGCCATGAAGTTCTGCTCCACCTGACCTCAAACCCGATCACAGGTTGAAGCCTCTGAGACCGTGAGCCAAAATAAACTTTGTTATTTTGTGTATCTCAAGTATTACGTCATCGCAGCAGCAGACTGATAGGAGGATAAAGAACTTTGGTGTTAGACAGGGGCACACTGATTTGTGTGTTTTGTGAGGTGCGGGTTCCCTCACCTGGTGCTGTGAAGTGCACTCTGTCCTGTGGCTTTGGAGG